ACCGTGACAACTGAGAAACCCTCAGATGCTTACTTTCCTAGTTGGATCTTGGGGGTTCTAACTCTTCCGACAAAAGGGCCGTGCTTGGCTTCTGCACGCGGAGTCATCATTTGCTCTCTCATGTGTTGTTTGCTTTGTTTCTACCAGATCCTGGTGGTCGCTGGTGTTGTCGCGTTTGATTCGGGGATCCACATAGCTGCTAGCACGTGGTCTTCTAGACTTCTAGTCTAGATCTTGCAGTTTTCCACTGCGTCTGAGAATGTGTGGAGACTCCACAAAAGCTTGAAATTTGAGATCGTCAGATTCAAGAGAGATCTCAGCAAGACCGCCGCAAAGATTTTGAAAAATATTATGAAAAAGATGTTTTCAGCGAGGCTTGCTTGCCCTTTGATTAGGTCAGCTGCTTCTTCAGGGCCCCAAACAGACATTCAAACTCAAGCGGAAGTGGAAGCCACACATCGTATTGTAATTACCACACACAGACCCTAGTGCATTTGCAGTTTCTTTTGTGGCATCAGCAGCATGCAACAGCAGCAAGTGAAAAACTTTTGGCTACCTGGATTGTGGAAACAATTCTGTTTCTTTGTTGAGCCTTGGCAATGCAATTTAAGTTTTTCGATTCGCACAATCACAATCACAACCTTTGACTTGCGCACTGCTGTGAGCAGTGAGGTGAGGCGGTGAGGTGAGCATTTAGATTCGCAAGCTTTCTAAATCGCAGATTGGCGGGGGTCTGGGCCGGGCTTTGGGCTCACAAACTGTGCGCCTATCGATGCAAGTCTCAGTGCTGATTCCAGTTTTTAGTTGTGTTTTGGATTTTGGAGTGACTCGCAGCAGAGTCAGATTCAGATGATTCAGAGGCATGTGGAACTGGAAATCATCAATTTAGCACTGCTTTGAACTTTGGGGTGCATGACGGACTTGTGTTGCTATTTGGGTTTTAAGCGTGATTTGCCTATTTGCGCATAGCATACAACATCTGCGAAATTCAGGAATCAGGACAGTTGAGCTGTTTGTTCAGATGCGCTTGAAGACTTTTTTTTGGTGGTTGCAAGCAATGCGAGCTTGGTGGACATGACAAGACAGGTTGTTGGTCCGTGCAAGCAGAACAGGCTCAGGCTGTGTGCAGTGCGTACGAGACAAGAAGGGTACCTAGCTAACTAACCTTATCGAGAAAACCTCGAGTCCAGAAATATTTCCATTTCTGCAAACTTTGTATACCAGATTCCTAGATGTTACACATTCCAAATCCCGAGTCAAGCAAGAACTTTCAAAGAGCACTTGACCTGAAATTTCTGTAGCGTAGAACCAGCCAGCAGATTGACTCAACAAGGCAAACTTGAGTGGAAGTAGGACATTCATCGTTGTGACATCATGTTTTCAGATAGGTGCACGTTGCAAGTTGAAAGGGTAAGCCTTGTTGATGAGCGTGCAACGCGTGCAATGTCTCTGATTTTCAGATTCATGACCAATGTTTGTTGCTGGATTGCCACGCACGGAGAAGAGCAGCGGTGGGGCAATGTGCTTACTGGCAGATACCAGACAGACTGGAATTGCGCTTCGCTTGAGTGTTTGCAAGATGATGGTTTGCAACCTTTGAGGGCAGATGAATTTGGCCAAGCCTTGAGTCATGACATGATTGTTGGGGTGGCGCAGATAAAAGCAGACATGATCTACCACGCACTTGCATTGTTGGATGCGGGACAGAGGAAGCAGTATCAGTTTTGGCAATCTGTTTTTGGGGGCGACTGCCTGCAGAATGCTTTGTATTACTTTGGCGTCAGCAACTTCATTCGTTTCCGAATGCCTGTTAAACTTCCAGTGACGGAGCACCGCAGATTGGTCACTTTTTTTGCTCACCTGGATATCTATTCGCCTGGAAGCCTTATTCAACAATTAGAAAGTGAAGGGAACGAGATTCCTGAGTGGCTGACTGCAGACGACTACTTGGTTGTGCGGTTGCCAGGGGCTGCAGCGCTGCAGATTGCAAGACAGAGATGGTCTTCTTTTGCGTTGCCAGACCCATCTCGTGAGAACTTGATTTCAGTAGGTGTTCGTGTGCGCAAGAGGATGATAGGGTGGAAATTCATTTCCAAGTTGGCAAATGATTTTGTTTTGGCGCCAGAGCATCGTGACGAGCCTCCAGGACAGGGCCGTTTCAGTGCAGAGTTTGCAGGGGAGGTAGCAGAAGTCATCCGGGTTCTTGTTGCTGGTTCTCAGGGTGGGGCAATGATGGCCATCAATGCTGATTTCTTGCAGAAGTGTTCACGTGCCGCGTTTTTGCTGCAGCAGCTTCATGATGACATGGACTTGGCCACCATGAGCCGACGCATTGTTCAGTCTCGTGGGAAAGTGTGCACAGCCCGGTTGCCTTACCGGGCCAGCTTTATCATTCAATGTTTGCTTTTGAGCGGTTTCTTGCGAGATAGCTCGGACTTGCAAGAAGTTGTGATCAGGGCAGTTCGTCTTGTTTTGCCAGAGACCTTGGGCCACGCTGTCTTGCAATCTTTGGAAGGCTCAGATAGTGCTTCAGGCCAGAAATTGAAATTACCCAGTGCTGCAAAGGTTTCCAGAGCCCGTTTTGCAGCAGACGTTGCTTACATGTTGCACTGCAGGAACATGAACCAAGAGGCTGAAAGAGCCGGTGGACTCACCAGGTATGTCATGGTTGATTCATCTGTTCAGGGCCACTACGATTTTGAGCTCATCCGTGTAACGAGTTTGCGCACCAACCAGCTTGGTGAAATGTTTTCGTTGGCCTTACAACTTTGCAGTTTGTGGAATGATGTTGTTGAGTCTCTTGCAATCAACGCAGAGGAAAGCAGCGTATCAGAAATGATTGCCAAAGCTTTGGTAGAAGAGACGGAACTGCATGCTTTGTTGCAAACAGGTATTGATGTTCAACAGTTGCCTGCAGTAGTTGTTGGCAGCGGACACGCTACGCTCTATCACAAACTGCACGCAACAATGCATGCCATGTGGTTGCACACAGGTTCGGCATTGAGGCTTGAAACGTACACCCGGTCCATTTTCGCGATCATCAGTGACCAGGGGACCGAATTCTCTTTACACAGAATCCAGCCCATGCTGGTGAGGGAACTTTTCCCGTGGATTCCGCATGCAAACGCAGCGCCCAACGAACATGATTGGGCACCTTGTTTAGCAGATGAGATGGAGATGGGCGCCAAAGTAGACTTGTCAAATTCCAACGGAATCGCTGGCTTGTTACACATCATGCACAATTCGACCATGGACCTGGGTCGTTCAATGGTTACTTTTGATGAGACCGTGAAAAGTATGAGCCATCTTTCGAAGATGCTTTCCAGAAAAGATCCCAAGGCCAGACTTCTGCAAGCGTGTTTTTCGGATCATATCGGACGTCACCTCCAAACAGAGATCAAAGCATTTCGTGCAAAACTTAATGTTTCTCGTTGGGGCAGCATTGCAGCTTGCGTTCTTGAACTTCTGAAGGTAGAAAATGCTCTGCGGTATGCGTGGGACCTGTCAAAGTACAAGCGTGTTACTCAGGCTGCAGAGCGAGAACAGCAGCACAGCAACAGTATAGATCTCACTGTTGTAGACTCCGCTATAACCTCTCCAGATTTTTGGGCCAGTCTCAGGATGATGGAGAGCATAGCCACAGTTGTTCAGGGTTGCCTTGTATGGATTGAATCATGCCCGTGCCATTACCCACTTCCCCATAAAGAATTTCCGAAAAAGGTTCGGGCCTTGTGGGCAAAGTGCCCCGTAAGAGGCTGCAGGGCTCCCGAATTAGCTCATGGGGAACTCCAGCATACTTTGCGTGAGCTGAGCACAGCATGCGCTTCACAGTTGCTTGCCCAACTTCCCAATGACATCACTGCAGAATCCCGTGCTTTGTTTTTACAAGATTTTGAGCGCGGCAGATCCCACATAGTCTTCATTGTGAACTTGCGTTTAGACCATTGGAGGCAGGCGCCGTGGTGTGTCTTCGGTTGTGCTCACCCAGACACTGAGAAATCCAAAGCATGCATTGAGCGATGCCTGCGGTTGCCAGCTGACAATAAATTGGTGCAGGAGTTGCAGGCTCCTGATATGCGGGAGGACATCCAAAAGTATCTTGCTGGGGAGGAGTTGGCTCAGCTTTCCACGCTGAGGAATTTTCTGGGCAAACTGTACTTTTGTCCCATTGCAGAACGTGCCATTGAAGGAGAGCATGCGCAGGCCGGATTTCGTCGTTGATGATCATAGATGTTGCCAGTCTTGATTGGGTCAAATGGGGTCATAGAGGGATGAGGGACCTGAGGGAGGGGCCTTGCTGGGCAATAGGAATTATAGGGTTGCAGCAAGAGCTAAGGGTTTTGTAGTTTGGAGGTTGAGTGGAAAGATTGAGTTTTTGGGTTGTTGAGGGTTAGGGACTTAGGGATTGAAGGCCTGAACCACCCCATATTCCCATATCTCCAAATACTGAAAAAGATTAAACCTTGAAGGGAATGGCTCAAAGACCCTCTAATTGCCTTGAAACTTTGAACGCTGTTGCTTACCACTTACCACCCCTCCTAGGCCTAGGACCCCTCACCTCACCCAAGCTTGCTTCCCCATGCCGCCTGCAGGTTCACAAGAAGATTGCCCTTGCTCGGAACCACACTGCAGCCTACGTGAGCCTGGGCCGGAGAGTCAAAAGCATTCGTGATGGCATTGATGCTGAGCCTAGCATGCTGAGTCAGATGGCATCGTATTACGACCAAGTGCATTCTCCTGCTAGGGCTCTTAAAGCTCTTGGTTTGCAGCACCACCCGTCAGCTGCACTCATATCGCATTACAGAGACCCCCTTCATTCAAAGATTGTGTACCATTGTGACCCGGGTACAATGTTCAAAGCAGGGGTTGAGTTGTCTACAGGGGATCCGCCTAGTGCACCACGCGCTTTGCTTGCTCCTCCGTCCGAGTCAGCAGGTTCAGAATTGCCAGGGCCACAGCCACAGCCACAGCCACAGCCACAGCCACCACCAGTTTCAGATGACAAGTCCAAGAGTGAGCCTGCGTCAGGGTCCACGTCAGCACCTAGCCAGTTGCAACTTGTGCCATTGCGTAGGGTTGTTGGCAAACAGTCAGCATCAGCCTCATCATCCGGCCCCATGTCAGTTCAGCCCAGCTCTCGAGATTTGCAGTTGGAGGAAAGTGCGGCAGCGTCTTTAGAGCTCTTGCCTCCGCAGAAGAGTGAGAGCGATTCACATTGGTTGAAGCGGTACATCCTTCAGGCTTTGTTTGCGCTCCTGGAAGATGGTTCAGGTCCTGTGGACAGCATCTATTCCATGCCTTTCTGTGCAGATGCCATGCGAAGCCTGAGCTTTGTGACTAGTTTGGAACATGAGTCTGATCGTCGTGCTGCTGATGCATCTGTGGACTTGGATTCCATGTCTTTGCGAGGGCATGTTTTCCTGCAGGTTGTTCGCAAAGCAGTGGGCCAGGTCAGAACGCCTTCCAGCTTAGGTTTGAAGCAAACGGATTGGGCAGTATCATTTCTGAAAGTCAATCGTGTTCGTAAGGTAGGGCCTTCTGATTGGGAGGTGGAGGTCAATGCTTCACCTATGTGTCTGACAAGCCTGGACTATGCATCAACACCTATCATTCTGTCTTTGGAAGCATTGCCCTTGGATAGCTTGATCGGTTTGCGCCTGTGGAAGCAGAAGCCGCGTTTGTCTTACAAGCTCAGTGTGCCAGGTGAGACCAACAACAGCTTGTTTTCCAGTACGGCCTGCCTTGAGTTGATGGAAACTATGCTAGTCAAGGATGGTGTTGCGTTGTCCGGACATGACCCTTTGTTCCAGGAAAAAACCGAGGTGTTGGAGACGCTTCTTGCAAGGGATATGGTCTCTCGCGGTGAGGGTCAGGGCTGGTCTTTCACTTTGAAGGGCCACAACTGCATACAGGTGAGCACTGTCTTGGTCGGCCTACAGCGTCTTGTCAGGGTGCGTGAGAGCATTCCTGTGCGGGATAAAGAAATCATGGAGCTCCTTCTGATTCTGCGTGAACAGGGCTGGCAGCATCAAGCCTTAAGTTCCAAGAAAATGCTTCCAGACAATTCTGATTATGTTGCTGGCACTTCCCCGAAAATCTGGTTTTCGCTGACTTCGCAAGCGCTGCTTTTTCAGGAGTATTTGTTGTGCCTCATTGAGTCTGCCACGCACATGAAGCCTGTTCCTCATTTGAAGCCTGTTTCCACTTATCGTGAAATCTTGGGTCTTGAGGTCAAAGCAGTGTCCAAGCGCAAGCGGGAGCCACTCATGTTTCTGTCGGATGAGCATGTGTGGGTTGATGATCAAATGCTTGTTCCAGTGAAAGTCGCACGCAAGCGAACCCCAAAGGTCCCACGTAGCTCTGTGCCGGCTTTAGCGGATGTGGTCGAGGAGGAAGAGCAGGAGCAAGACTTGGGCGACGATGAGGTTGACAGTCTCTCTGTAGATTCGCAGCAGGGGCATCCTCAGGTTTGTGACGCAGAGGCGCCCATGCCAGCAGTGCCAGCTGCTGAGCGTGGGGAGGTTGTGCATGGTGATGCGCGTGAAGAGTCTCGCCACTCTTGCAGCAATGATAGTAGCTCCTCCTCATCTTCTGGGTCTAGTAGTAGTGAGAGCGATAATGATAATGGGAAAGGGTCTTCAAGTTCATCTTCCAGTTCTTCCAGCAGCTCAGAGAACAACTCTGGAAGGGATGAGACTGAGAGGGCAGCAGGCGTCCGCAGAAGAGGCTTTTCGCGGCAGCATGGCACCAGCATCATGTGGGGTGTGTTCCGCATTACCCCCCACTAAAACAGGTTTCCAGATCACATGCAGACATCCTGAACATTCGTCTGGGAATGCTCTCTGCACTAAGACACGAAGCAGCCACATCGATGGCAGTGACGCAGCCTTGAGGCTTCTGAAAACGTGGGCATCCTGGGGGAGATCAGCCACAAGCAAGGCAGAACACCAGCAACAAGTGTGGAAGCGAGTCCTCAAGGCGCAGAAGGAGAACAGGCTTCCAACTCTGGCGTCGCTTGATGCTGCGCCAATTACTGATTACAACCCTTGACTCCTTCAGACTTCAGAGTTGGTGCTTGAGCGACTTCAGTCAGTGCCGTGTGCTGTTGTGTTGGGCTAGCGCAATGCTTTCACCTTGGCTTGGTGTAGATGGGCTTCGATGACATTGCAACATAAACAAGCCTGTGTTCAGCTGTGAATAGTGAAGCCTGAGCTGGAGATGTTGTGTCATTTAAGAAAGCCAGTCAGCCAAGCCATTGCCAGGTGTAGTCAGAGCTGCGTTGCAAAGGTTTCACTTATGCAGCCGAGGAGCGTGCCTCATTCCATGTGTGTTGCAAGAAAGGGCCGAGAGAGTCTGAAATCCCCGTAGAGTACATTGACCTTTCTTGGAAAGCCCCGCAAATCGCCGGATACCGCCCGAAAGTCCCGAAAGCATCCTGAATATGTTTTTTTGGTCCGAAATCGCCGGATTCAGAGTTTGGAGCCATTTCGAGGCCGTCTGGGGTCTCCGGGGGGTCCCGCTCGAAACGCTCGAAATGCTCGAAACTCCGCCTGGGTTTGCTCGAAATTCGGATGGTTTGCTCGAAATTCGGGTGGGTTGCTCGAAATTCCCTCTTGTCCCGTATACTATACTCGAAATTCGGGCGGGTTGCTCGAAATTCGGACGGTTTGCTCGAAATTCGGGGGGGTTGCTCGAAACGCTCGGGATTGCTCGAAATTGCTTTCTGTCGACCAGACCCTTGGCCCAGGTTTGAGGTCCATCCCCGAATCCCGTGCCGATTTTCCGACTTGGGGCGGGATTGGCCGAAATTGCTACGAAATCTTCGCATTCGTTTCGTTTCCGCTGAGCAGTTCCCCTTTATAACCCCCGAAAGAGAATAAGCCTGCTTGCTATGTCCTCTGGGGTCATGTTCGTGTGAGCACTTATATATGATTGCTTCTTACTAGAATTTGCAAATGCTTGATGTCTGTCTCAGAAGCTCTCAGACATGAGTGAGTATTCAAGCCTTTCAAGCCAAGCCGGCTATGCAGGGTTGATGTCTTGATGTTGTCTGAAAAAACGTTTCATTTCGCTACCAAGCATACAGCCAGGCCAGCGACATGTTCTTGAGGAAACCAATGGTCCGACCGCCGACCGATCCTTTTTGAGAAAGCTGCCTACTTGTTTTCCCACCGCCGCCGCCAACTTCAGCCGCCAACTGAACATTGCGGAGCACCTTCCCATGTCCATGTGATGTCTCATGGTGAGCAGTTAAAATTTAACTGTTCGGGGGCAGTTAAAATTTAACTGCTCGGTAGTTGTTGGGGACAAGGGACAAGTTGGGGAAGTTGGAAGAGCATGAAGTTTGCGGTCTACAAACATTTGTGCATGTTATGTCTGTATCATGTGCAAAAACATGTCTGCTTGAGTTGGGCATGCATGACTGGTTGAGCTGCTGCAAGTGAATTTTCAGTCAATGACAGAGTGCAGTGTGCAGGGGGTGCGGTGTGTTTCAAACAACATCAAAAACTTCCTTCCAAAGCAGAACAGACAAGCTTTCTCACTCAGAAGCCTAGAACAAGCCAGGATCCGTATGTGGTGTGTTGCAGACACTTCCCATGCGACCTTTCCAGATTTCACACGTCATTTTTGATTGACATGCTTGAGGGCTGAGTGGTAGTTTTTGAGCTCCTTTGGGATGAAGCCGGGTCCAAAGAACCTTGCTGAGCTGCGCAGCTGGCCTCAAACCGTGCTGGAGAGTTTGGTGCATGCCAGGGACGGCAGTGATGGCGAGCGTGTTCATCGCATGCTTGCCAACTTGCGGCGTGGACTTCTCATGTACTCCGACTACAGTGGGCTTGCAGGCGAACACGAAGCGTTGCATCAGATGTCAGCTGCTTTTCCTTTGTTCAAGGAGCTTGATGGGCTGACTTCTGCAGTGAAGCATCACCGCTTCTGCGACTATGGGCAGCTTCAGCAAGATATCTTGTGTGCCATCAGTCGGGATCATGGGCATTCGGTCTGTGTCATGGCGGACATCAACGACCGTCTGCCCAATAGCTGTTCTGGATTCCATGGTCCCACAGGACAAGGCCAAGGTGCCTGCGGGCGAAGTGTTGCAGGCATACAGAACAATGCTTAGCTACTTGGTAGACAACCGGCGGTGGCTCTTTCCGTCTGACCCCAAGAGCTTTTGTGTTGTCCATGGTAGACAGTGCAGTCTGTGTCCAGCAGCAGCGGCGACTTCGAGTTCAGCTAAGCGACAAAGGACAACTGCAGAGATTCGGCAGATGAGCAGGAGCGACGACAGTGCGGACTGTCCTGCACCACTGCGCATCAACACTGCTGGAACGACTTGCGTCGGATGGAGCTCAGCTGGGAAGTCCTTGCAGTTTAGAGATCCATCGGAACGGCCACATGCGATTTGGTCAGTGGAGCGGCTCAGACGAGGCGAACTTCAGGTCGAAGACGTGTTCGTGTCTGAGTGCACGCCGCGGTACCCAGTGAAGGACTGTTTTTTTTTTAGTTGGTGCGCATGAGCCATGTCACTTGCCGCGAAATCTCTGCAGGTAGGTGGTGGTAGGCAGTGCTAGGTTCAGTTTGCACTTGGATTGCGTTCATAGCCCATGCTGTTCCTACTGCTCGTGCTACTTGTTTGGTTTACCTGTCATGTCTAGACTGTCTAGGTCTGCTCGTGATGAGGTGTAGATGTTTGGCTGGCGTAGGCAGCCACATTCCAGAAGTTCAAGTTTGCTAAGTAAAGTCCACAGTTCGCAGCATCATCGTAGCTGTAACATGTTGTTTTTCTCCGCCTCCCCACGTGCCCTGCCAACGGCAGGAGAAGCTGGTCGACTTGCTGGCAGAGACCCATGACGTGTTCCACATTGTGGTGTCGCCTATTGATCTGGGATGGCCAGTCCGACGAAGGCGAGTCTTCTGCTGTGGCTTGAGCAGGGCTACCATGGCATGGCTAGGTCCAGAGCAGGATGACATCCTTCAGCACTTCCTGGGCTTTTTTGCTCGGACTCTGCAAACTGACGGAGATGTGTTTCTCGTTGCTTCAGATGACCGGGTGTTTGATGAGCATTGCTTGTTGGCAGGCCACAGGGGCTTGTCGTTGTCTTCGTCTGCACGAGAGGGCAACGTGTTGGTTTCCCCTGAGCATGTGTATGCACCGGGACAGGTTGTCCGCCTTCAACAGTACAGCCGCATGCGTGATGAAGTTGCACCGTCTGGAGCGTTCTTCGCGGACTTAAACCAGAACTGTGGTGCTGGAGCAAGCACACCAGGGCCTGTCATACCCTCCATGCTTACGAGCTGCACACTGCACAGCTTCTCGAAGCGAAGAGTAGCCCTCACTGAAGAATTGCTGCACGCCCATGGCTTCAATATGTATGCGGAGGAGATGACGCCGGGTACAGGTCCGACATGGCCTCCATGTCGCATCAGGGAGCACCTCCTGCAGCTGAACCGTGCTCAGCGGCAAAAACTACTCGGAAACGGGTGGCATCTCCCTGTGTTTGCTTCGTGGTTTTACTACATACTTGCCCATACAGTAAAGCTGGACCGCCAGGTCACAGTACATCCGGAAAGGAGCTTGTGGAGGAAGGGTAGCAGTTCTGTTCTCAGCTGGGGAAGAGCTTCATCCAGCTTGTCGCTTGGCAGCTGTGAGGATGAATGTACAGAGTTGAAAGAGGGTCAGCTTGGTGGCTAGGGCCATTCTTTGATTGCAGCTCGTGTGTCGGTGTAACTTGCGGTGTAACAGTAAACAGTGTAGCAGCTTAGCATGTGTGCTTTTCCCGCAGGCTGAGCCACCGTAGCTCACAAGCAGTCTGAAGCGCAGGCCGCTTCATCATTTCAAGCTTTGAAAACGCAAAGGCCTTCAGTATTTTCGAGCTTCCAAGAATGACTTCGCTCGTTGGCCTTTCATCGAGGAGATGTTTCTCAGAACTTGTCATGTTTTCGTTCAGCTGCGTGACCAGCTGATCGGCAATGTCTCTTGCAGCGAACTTGGGGGCGGGCTGCAAAAATTGTTGCTACCATGCGGAGCTGCGACAGTACTGAGCCTGTGCTGTAGCAGTCTGTTGATGTCTTTTGCAAACAACCAGAGCTTCCCAGAACTAGTGTATGTCAATGTATCAAGTATCAATGAGCAGGAGTTCGAATCCAGCAACTGACATGTGTGACAGAAGGGTTCCTTTGCGGCTCTTGCGAGAGATTGCTGCTTGTGTAGGCTGCTCTGTTGACAGGTGCTGCAAGACATGGTAGGACTCAGCAAGGGTGCCTTCAGCCTTCTTGCCAGGCATTCAACAACCCAGGATTTCCTTCGCCTTTTTCCGGCTCGGGCTTGATCCAAGGCGAAGACTTGCAACTTGCGATTAGGCACATTGCAGGCTCCGTGTTCAGTTCATGTGCAAGCTGCAAGACATTCTGAGATATGTCACACACATTCACACAGGCAGTCACTGAGAACTGTGAAGTGTGAAGTCGTGTTGTAGGTGATGAGTGCCATTGTTCGGAGCCCCAAGGTTAACATCAATTGTATTCTGTTTCATGTGGGACGTGCGTGCTCCAATGAATTTGTTGTCCCACCTGTGTTGCCTGTGTTCTCATTATCCCTAGCCAACCTCGTGGTGCCATAGCTTTGCGTTCTGTGATCATCATGGATGACGATGAGCATGGCGACCTTGCTCAGCAACTTGCTGCAGAAGCAAAGTCGGCTGAGGCCAAATCGCGAGGAAAGAAGGGATCAAAGAAAGCCGGGCAAGCAGCCAAGGTCTGCTTCGTTTGTCCTGAACTTGCCATGAAGGGCAAGAGGTGGTGCACATCGCATAATCGTGCGTATGACTGCATGTACTACCAGGCGAAGTCCAAGGGAGAGGTTACCACGCTCGAGCGTGCGATGATGGATGCCCAACGAGCCCGGGAAGCAGTGGACGCATTCATGCTGGACAATCCGGCTGAAGGGAAATGGCGCCGCAAAAGCTTGATTGATTGGGGCGCTTTCCGCCGCACATATTGCGTGACCCAGACCAAGCGCAAGCGTGATGGCTGCAGGCAATTTGAGTACGGCCAATGGATGCTGCGGGGCAAAAACGAAATGGGCTGGACTGATGAGTCCAGTAAAGCAGAATGGCAGAAGTACCATGCGGACAAGTCGATTGAGCGAGACTCAATGGGCCTCAATGGAGCCTTGCGGCTCTGGCTGCCTGTCATCAATGAGAAGCACAAGGACGACAGTGTGGCGCGGACAAATGCTTTCGAAGAAGGCAGCAGCTCTAACAGGAACTTGAGCGAGGAGGACAGGCTTATTCTCCTGAACCATGTGAGGGCCTCCGGCCAGCACGATGATGACGAATGGGTGTCTGCTCTTGCTGCCGCTGAAGGCGACGAGGACGACATGATTGTGACACCAAAAAAGAGGCCAGCGCCTGATGCTGCTGCTGAGACACCAGCAGAAAAGAAGGTGCGTGTGAAACGGGAGAAATTGGCCAACAATGGCCCTGGTTTCGCGGCCTACAAACAAAATCTTGCGGAGAAGATTCGTGAGAAGGGGCAATCCGTACTTCGGATGGTGGACAACGGCAAGGAGAAGTTGCTTGAAGGTGAGAAGGCTGCCAAGGATTCTGAGACTGATAATGTTCTCACGAGCTACCTGAAGACCTTGTCTGATTGCATGGCCATTGTGAAGATCTGGAGAATGGACGTTGCTCTGGATGATGACGCTGTGGCCAAAGCGACTGAATCTTTGGGTACTACGTTGGAAGGTGCGAGCCAGCAGATCAAGATTGTGAAGGACGGGGCTTGCTTGAAGCCCAAGGCTTTCTTTGAGTGGCAGGCCAAATCATTGCTTTCCCTCTCCGAGCCAAAGCTTGTGGATGAAGCTTTTGAAGCTGCCATGAAGACGGATGCCCCGGTGGTTGAGCTCTTTGCCAAAAGCTTGGCGAAGATTGGCAATGACGTGCAGAGTTACGTGAAGACCAAAAAGCGCAACAAGGAGCGTGCGGAGGCCAAAGAGAAGAAGCTTAAAGAAAGCAAAGGGACGTCAAGGAAGTTGCCAAGGCAGCTGCAGCCAAGGTTCGTCTCTTCAAAGGGCAGACTCACAACATCTTTGCAGTGGATCACCAGGAGTTCAAGAGCTTCCTCGTGAACGATGGCAAGAACTTTGATGTTGATGCCAACCTTGATCTTCCATGGATTCTTCCTGCAAGCGACCACTGCAAGACTTGGCGCAATGATGGTGATGTCACCGTGAAGCTTTCAGAATTCGGAGGAGCATACAAAAAAGCTCCGAGCTACAAGGTGGATGGCCGTGTGACGGCGCCAGTTGCTCCCAAAGGCGGCCGTGATCAAGCCGAGACCTTGATGAATGCCATTTTCCCTTCAAAGAAGAGGCAGGGTTAAGTCTCAAACTGAAGCTTTTCGGGCATTTCGGGCAGCCAGTCTCAGGTCTTTCAATGACTTCATGTGACTTGAAGATTTTCGCGAATCAATCCCACTTCCAAAGTTTATGCTATGTATTAGTGTTCCTCCCCCAAAGAAGGCTAAAGGGTTACAGTACAATCGATGAGAGAGCAAGCGAAATCATTAATTCAACCGACCTAGAATTCTTGGAGAGTGCTGTTGGCTGATTCTTTGCTTTGCCAGGCTTGATGTGTGCAAGATGCCGGATGCAGCTGCGATTGAGAGCAACATGTCCTACTTTGGATTTGACAACCGAATGGCAGGCGCATGGCTTACACCAAACGGTGAGTGGGTCTCATGTACGGGATTCGCAACTCGTATTTGCTTCACACGGACAAGTCTTGCCTTAATTACAGCAAGGTGATTCACATGCTGAAAGCATCAGGCCGTGACACAGCCAAAATGCAGGCCATCTTGGACTTGTATGGTTCCGGTTCAGGCGCAGGGAATGGAGCAGGAGCTCCAGCCGCAGCTCCAGGGGTGGCAGACAGCACGCAGCAGGCCAAGGGGTCCTGAATGATAGCAGTCTTCGTCTCAAGCCTGCGGCATACACGTATGCGGGTGTCAGGCTGGGTTTTCATTTTGCGCAGTGCAGATGTTTGCGACTGCCATGGGTGTTTTCAGATATTGATCCCTGTGGTGCGATGCTGTGACGCATGGCAGAGCTATTGCAGGGGTATGCGATGCGTAGGATTGGCTATGCAGATGTGTACTTTAGTGTGCGCCGTGTTCTTCTCCTATCCTTGAGTTGATGAAGCCAAGCCAGCTGGCTCCTTCATGAAGCCGAACCATTCCACACGTGAAGTGCCGGAAAGCAGAGTTTGGAAAAGGCGTGCAGCTCTGGTGTGCAGTTTTTTCTGTTCAGTGTTAGCGTGTAAGTTGCAACCCAGAACTTTCCATGAGAAATCCGTCTGAAGATTGGAACGTGAAATTAATCCTGCGTTTGGTATTGTGTTGTTCCTGTGTGGTATCTTGCTTCTAGGTCAAAGTTTGATGACCGCGACATTTGCAAAACTGGATTAACCACAGAATCACAGGTAGCATGAGTGCAACGCGCGTGGGACAACATCATTTTCATTCACCATGCATCGTGCGCACGAAGCTGCTTACCATCATATGGTGAATATTGGTCAGTGTATTTTGTTTGGAAAAGCTTTAAAAAGCTTTCAACGTGGGAGCATCCATTGCGGACACGAGCCGCCCAACAGGCGCTGCAAGGCAGCGCTCCCTAAACTTCAAATTGTAGCAAATGCAGCCTTGTAAACCATTGAATATTCTGGCTCCCGAAGTTGGACTTCGAACACATGGTTGACGAGACCAAGCCCAATTCTAGTGCCCGGCTTTTGTTTGCAAAGATTTTTGAAGAGGGGTGGCAAGCTCAGAATTTGCGCCCAACATACGTGGGTCAATGATCTCCCAAATGCGTGGCGAAGTCACGCGTCAGGCTTATTTTCGTGCAAGGGCTAGGGTCCCACCAGCCCTAATGCCAAGATCCCCAAAGGAAAGTTACCACCCTCAGAGGACCAGATCGTGACACCCCAACAA